CATTTTTTCATTATAAATGAATTAGTATAAAATTATTTCATTTTTTCATTATAAATTTATAAGTGTCAATTAATGGCTTATTTTCATTTTTTCATTGTAAATTATTATTTCCAATTTGTCATTATAAATCAATTAGTATAAATTTTTTTCCATTTTTTCATTATAAATTAATTAGTGGCAATTAATGGTTTAATAAGTACCAATTAATAGTAAAATTATTAATGAGATCAATTAGTATAAATTTTTTTCATATTTTCATTATAAATTAATTAGTGGCAATTAATGGTTTAATAAGCACCAATTAATAGTAAAATTATTAATAGGATCAATTAGTATAATTTTTTTTTTCATTTTTTCATTATAAATTAATTAGTGGCAATTAATGGTTTAATAAGCATCAATTAATAGTAAAATTATTAATAGGATCCATTAGTATAAATTTATTTCATTTTTTCATTATAAATTAATTGGTGGATATTAATGGTTTAATAAATTAATGGTTTAATAAGCATCAATTAATAGTAAAATTATTTATAGGATCAATTAGTATAATTTTTTTTTCATTTTTTCATTATAAATTAATTAGTGGCAATTAATGGTTTAATAAGCATCAATTAATAGTAAAATTATTAATAGGATCAATTAGTATAAATTTTTTTTTTCATTTTTTCATTATAAATTAATTAGTGGAAATTAATGGTTTAATAAATTAATGGTTTAATAAGCATCAATTAATAGTAAAATTATTAATAGGATCAATTAGTATAATTTTTTTTCATTTTTTCATTATAAATTAATTGGTGGCAATTAATGGTTTAATAGGCATCAATTAATAGTAAAATTATTAATAGGATCAATTAGTATAATTTATTTTCATTTTTTCATTATAAATTAATTGGTGGCAATTAATGGTTTAATAAGCATCAATTAATAGTAAAATTATTAATAGGATCAATTAATATAATTTGTTTTCATTTTTTCATTATAAATTAATTAGTGGCAATTAATGGTTTAATAAGCATCAATTAATAGTCAAATTATTAATAGGATCAATTAGTATAATTTTGTTTTTCATTTTTTCACTATAAATTAATTGGTGGCAATTAATGTTTTAATAAGCATCAATTAATAGTAAAATTATTAATAGGATCAATTAGTATAATTTTTTTTTCATTTTTTCATTATAAATTAATTGGTGGCAATTAATGCTTTAATAAGCATCAATTAATAGTAAAATTATTAATAGGATCAATTAGTATAATTTTTTTTTTCATTTTTTCATTATAAATTAATTGGTGGCAATTAATGGTTTAATAAGCATCAATTAATAGTAAAATTATTAATAGGATCAATTTTTCATTATAAACTAATTACTGGCAATTAATGGTTTAATAAGCATCAATTAATAGTAAAATTATTAATAGGATCAATTAGTATAATTTTTTTTTTCAATTTTTCATTATAAACTAATTGGTGGCAATTAATGGTTTAATAAGCATCAATTAATAGTAAAATTATTAATAGGATCAATTAGTATAAATTTTTTTCATTTTTTCATTATAAATTAATTAGTGGCAATTAATGGTTTAAGCATCAATTAATAGTAAAATTATTAATGGTATCAATTTGTGTATTTTTTTTTTCATTTTTTCATTATAAATTAATTAGTGTCAATTAAAATTATTAATTAGCATCAATTATTATTTTTTATTCATTAATTATTATTATTTTTATTAAAAAAAACACTAAAAACCTCCACAAAAAAAATAAAAATAAAAAACTGAAAACCCTAGCTCCGACGGGACGAATCGCGCGCTAGGGTTTCAGATTGATCGACCGAGAGAGAGAGAGAGAGAGAGAGAGCTAGAGCCGTTGTTACGCCGGTAGCCCCTTCTTCTCATTCTTTTCCTCCTTCTCATCTCACTGTTGGTGTCGATCGCAAAGAAGGAAAGAGAGTTAGGGTTCACGCTGTCGATCGTGATGATTCAAATTGCGTCACCGGCGTCGATCGCGAAGAGGGAGAGAGAGCTAGGGTTCACGCTGTCGATCGCGATGGTTCAAATTGCGCCGCCAGGGTCGATCGCGAAAATGGAGAGAGAGCTAGGGTTCACGCTGTCCATCGCGATGGACACTGAAGAGAGAGAGAGAGAGAGAGAGAAGAGACAGATCGCGGTTGTTGGAAATTGACATGTTCGCTGGAAATCGCCCTAGTTCGCTGGAAATCGCCTCTCCTGTTTGTGTGATAGCGGAAGAATGAGTGAGAAATGATTAATATACATGGCACACTTGTAATTAGTATTAATTGGGAAGGGCATTTAAGTCATTTTACACCCCCATTTCAACTTGCCGTATAAACTAAAATCAATAAGCACCTCCTGAGGTACTTACAAATTTAAGCTGAAAATAGCTTAATAAAAGCTATAATCTATCTCTTTAAATTTTACGAAACACACTAAAATAACTTAATTTAAACTAAAAATTGATTTAAACTGCTTTTAAGTACTACCAAATAGACACTTGAATAATTTTATCTGTCCATTTTATTTAACCAAAAAAAAAAAACTTGATTGAATGTTGACCTCACACCACTCCATGGAAGATTCTCCTAGGAGAAAAACCACGGCGTAGATCCAACAATTCAGGCCCCACTGTACTGGTGGAGGCGAATAGCCAGCAAATAAAATTTTACTTTAATTTCAACACGTTAAAACATGTGTTGAATTTTAGAAAAAACCGACCAAAACATGCCAACACAAGCTGCAACACAAAAAAATAAAAATAAATCCCATCTTCCACTTAAATTTCAGGTATGAAAAAAATTGTGTTGAATTTTAGAAAAGCAGGTTAGTTTTCTCTAAATTGTTTTTATTTTTATTTTTAGAATATTAAAAAAAAAAAACTCCCCAAACATACATCTTCTTTTTTTTTTTCTTTCTAATTTTTTAGTTAAAAAGTCAAAAAGTGCACTTATATAACACATCCCAAACAATCCCTAAAAAAAAGAAAAATTACAATTTGGCGTAGGTTTTCAAAAAATATTTCAAATCAATGGTAAATTTTATTAATTTTAATAATTAAAGATATAATATGTTTTTTTTTTTTATAAATTTATAAATATTTTGTGAAAATTCAACTGGTTTCAATTCTCTTCTAAAAAAATAATCAGATAATTGCCTCAAAAAATAGAGAATTACTAACATATGGGGATTCAATGGGAAAGCAACAAGAAAGTGGGATTCGCACTCACAATGCACACACCTTTCACGACTCGTATGAACTCACGAGAATATTAGAATAAATAGAATATACAATTCAACTGTCCCACCCACCACTCCCTTGCACTCATCCATATGAATATGACTTTCTTCCTACAAAAATCTACAAAAATGCATTTAAAATTTTTATATTGGTTACTTCTTAGCTTTCGTTTAGGTATTGAGTTGACTTTTTACCTATTTTAATTTGGGTTAAAAAATTTGATTTCAGATGAATTTTTTAATTTTTTGATTTTTTTGATTTTTTTGTGAGAGAATAGTTTAATAATTATGGATTGGATGTGATATTTTGTTTGTTGCGACTAAAATAGCTTATTTTGTCTTTTGTGACTATTTTAGCCACAAATCAACTTGGCAAACATCACCTTAAAAAATTATAATAATATTTATTCAATAATTGTTTAAAAATAATTCATTACTATCTGTCTTTAGGTGGGAGGTGGTGGGGTAGTGGGCAACATCTATTTTTAAAGATAAACGCGTTGCATAATTATTGGGAAAAAGATTGGTAGCTCGAGAAATTGACTTGAAAAATGGCTCGAAAGAGAAGAGAGGGGAAGAGGAGGAGAGAGGGAGAAAGAGAGAGGAGAGGTTGTCGCAGCTTCTCGCCGTCGTCGCAACTCCCGTCGTCGTCGCAGCTCCCCTCCAGTCCTTCTTCTTCCTCCTCCGTCGCAGCTCGTCGCAGCCCCACGCAGTCCGCCTCCTCCTCCAGCCCGATTTTTATGGCCCCCTCCCCTCCACTTCTCCTTCTTCCTCCTCCTTCGCCCTCCTCCCGATCTGCAGACCCACCATTCTTCTTCTTCTCCACACTTCTTCTTCTCCCTTCCTTTTCTTCTTCCTTTTGCAACAAAAACACAAGAAAAAAGAAAAAAAAAAAAACACCAAAACGACGTCGTTTTGATATCGAGCCAAATTCAAGCCACCGAATTTCGAACTACGTAACAGGGTCGTAATTATTTTTTTGAACTGGGGGTCGTAATTATTGAATCGTGAATCTAAAACAAAAATATCAAATCAATTTATTATTATTATTTTAAAATATCAATAGATGGAATCATTTATTTATAAAGCACACAAATCACTTTGCGGATACTTTATTACATAATTTTGATTTTTAAAAATAGAATAATACTATATATATCTATTGATATACTAATTAGTGTATCAATTGATGATGTGACATAATTTTTAAAATTTTTAAAATTTGTAATGTGATTAATTAGTGGGATCAATAATAATGTAGTAACTAGTATTAATACACTAATTAGTATATTAATTAATACATGTAACACTACCGTTAAAAATAACCCCAACAATAAATTTGTTTAAAGCTTAAGCAAACACAACCAATTAACAAAAATTCTGTTCTAAAAAAAAAATTAAAAAAAAATTCTCAAAAAATAAAAATAAAAATTTGTCCACTACTTTCTAGTTTTATTCCGTAGTTAAACAAAACAACAATGATTCATACCACTAATTTTGGTACTTTAATAGAATACTAATGACATGACAATGAACAAAAAAAATAAAATAAAAACAAATCAAGACAAAAACATCACATCACTGTGGATGAAGTCCATTATCAACTCATTAAACCTATCTTTAGAATTAAAAAATTAGAACTCCAAAGCATTTTTCTAAAAAAAAAAAAACATTTGTGAGTTGAAAGTCCAAATTGAATCAACAACGGAGACAAGCCCTATATAAATGCGTATGAATATCCATTGTCCTTCACATTCGCATCATCACCTACACCCCCACACAGCTCATTTATCTATCTATCCCCCAATTTGCAACAACAATAACAATAGTCAAACCCCTCATTGTGATACTTACACACTGAAATGGCATCATCTTCTTTAACTTTCCCATCTCTGCAACTACAATTCCCCACTCAAAGATCATCAAAACCATCCTCTCGTCGACTCATTGTCCGTCCGATCACTGCCTCCATATCGGAAAAACCATCTGCCACGCCCACTCCGGCGGTGAAGCCACCCCAACCCCCCACCATCTTACCGATCACAAAAATTCCAGGAAACTACGGTATTCCTTTGATCGGACCCCTTAAAGATCGACTCGATTACTTCTACAACCAAGGCAGAGATGAGTATTTCAAGTCTCGAGTCCAAAAATACCAGTCGACGGTGTTCAGAGCCAATATGCCACCAGGTCCCTTCATTGCCTCCAACCCAAACGTCGTTGTTCTCCTCGACGGCAAGAGCTTCCCGATCCTCTTCGATGTCACGAAGGTCGAGAAGCGAGACGTCTTCACCGGAACTTACATGCCCTCCACAGAACTCACCGGAGGTTACAGAGTCCTCTCCTATCTCGATCCTTCTGAGCCCAATCACGCCAAACTCAAGCAACTCATGTTCTTTCTTCTCAAGTCTAGCCGCGACAGAGTCATACCAGAGTTCCAAACCAGCTTCACAGAGCTCTTCGAGATGCTTGAAAGTGAATTGGGTAGTGAAGGGAAAGCTAGCTTCAACGAAGCCAACGATCAAGCTGCTTTCAATTTCTTGGCTCGATCTTTGTATGGGACGAACCCAGTTGATACGAAGCTCGGTATCGATGGACCCAAATTGGTTACCAAATGGGTAGTGTTTCAATTAGGCCCTTTGCTCATTCTCGGCCTCCCAAAGTTCGTAGAAGAGCTCGTGATCCACACCTTCCGTCTCCCTCCAGCTCTCGTTAAAAAGGACTACCAGAGACTCTACGATTTCTTCTACGACTCATCGACCTTGGTCCTCGACGAAGCAGAGAGAATCGGAATCTCAAGAGAAGAGGCTTGTCACAACCTCATATTCGCGACCTGTTTCAATTCATTCGGAGGCATGAAAATCCTCCTCCCAAACATGATCAAACGGATGAGCCGGAGTCAACCTCCACACCCAACTCGCGGAGGAGATCCGATCCGCCGTCAGATCCAACGGCGGAGAAGTCACGATGGCGGCGATGGAACAGATGCCGCTGATGAAATCCGTAGTATACGAATCGCTCCGGATCGAACCACCCATATCATTACAATACGGCAGAGCGAAACGCGATTTGGTGATAGAGTCTCACGACGCAGCGTTTGAGGTCAAGGAAGGGGAACTATTGTTCGGGTTTCAACCGTTTGCGACCAAGGACCCGAAGATATTCGAGAGGCCGGAGGAGTTTGTGGCGGACAGGTTTGTGGGTGAGGAGGGAGAGAGGTTGTTGAGGCATGTTTTGTGGTCGAATGGGCCGGAGACGGAGAGTCCCACGGTGGGGAACAAGCAGTGTGCAGGGAAGGATTTCGTGGTGTTTGTGTCCAGGTTGTTGGTGGTGGAGTTGTTCCGGCGGTACGATTCGTTTGAGATCGAGGTTGGTCAGTCGCCTTTGGGTGCTAAAGTCACTGTGACGTCGCTGAAGAGAGCTAGTTTTTGAACTCCGGCGACGTTGGTGGTGGTGGTGGAGCTATTCCCGCCACCGGCGAGCGTCGCTGTTTCTGGTACGGTTTTGGCGCAGATAGGGGAAGTGGAAGATCTATTTGGCAGGGTGGTGGTCAAAATTCAACAGCTTTGTAAGAACCTAGTATTTTTGGTGGGCTAATTATTTAGTGGTCTAAGCATATTAGTAATATTAGTTGGGTTGTAATTTCTTATTTGGCTCTGGAATTTTTAGTAGAGTTTCAAAATTATGATTTGAAAATAGAAAATTTGTTTAATTATGAGTTTTGAAAATAATTTTGAATTTTTGCTGTGACTTATGAAATAAAATAGAGCAAATCACACTAACAGACTTTATAGTTTGGGGTTTGTGTCATTTTAGTTCTTAATTTTTTAATTGTGACACATTTGATCCTACATTTTAAATCTTGTTCTAATTAAGGACAATTGAAAATACCATTATTTAATTTTAAGAGCAAAGTCGTTAATTTGATAAAATATAAATTAATTTGACAAAAATAAATGTTAAAAAAATATTTTTAAATTTTTAAAAATTATTTTTACCTATCATAGATAAAATTATGCATATTGATAAATATTTTATACATTTATTCATTTTTTTAACCAAACAAATTTTTATTATGTATTTGAATGATGATCATATAATGGGTGATTACTAGACTATATGTAATCGATATATTTAATATATGAAATATTTTTAGTTTTAAATTTTTTGATTTAATGGATTAGTTTAATAATGATATCAAAGTTGTCACTATATTTGACTTTTGAAAAAATAAAAACTAATTTAATGAAGATAAAAATAATCACTCAATACATAATTATCATCCAAACATATAATAAAAATTAATTTGGTAAAAAAAATAAATGTGTAAAAGATTTATCAATTTTACATAATTTTATCAATGGTGGGTACAAATAATTTTTAAAAATTAAAAATTATTTTTTGATTTTTATTTTTGTCAAATTATTTTATATTTTTTCAAATTGACGATTTTACCTTTGAAATTGAGTAATGGTATATTCAATTGTCCTTATTAAGAATAAAATTCAAAATTCAGGATCAAATGTGTAACAATTGAAAGGTCAGGGACTAAAGTGACACAAGCCCTAAACTATAGGGACTTTTAGTGTAATTTGCCCAATAAAAAAAGTTGTTTGATTATGAGTTTTGAAAAGAATTTTCAAAACTTAATTGAAAAACTTATAACTCATAACAAACACACAATTCAAAACTCTATTAAAAATTCTATTTAAAACTCATAATCAAACTCTTTTTAAAATTCAATTAAAAAAAATAATTTGTCATTTTGGTCTAAAAAAGTAATTTATATATTTAAAAAATATCAAAAATAAATATAAATTTTTTTTTTAGATAACAGTTGGCAATTAGCAATTGCAAAAAAAAAAAAAAAAAAAAAAAAAAAAATCATTCGAATTTGAAAGGTCCCGATAAAGTTCGGTAAAAATTCAAAACTAATAGACAGTTGATTTAGTGAAAAAAAAAAAAAAAAGGTGTTATTTCGGTCAACCAATATGTCTAGGTAGACGACCGGTAGACTAAAAATTCAAAAACTGTTTGGTTTATCAAATATGTTTTCAAAATGTGTTTTGAAATTAATTTAGAATCATGATTTGAAACGTTAAACCAAACATAATATTAAAATATAAAGGTGAAATTAATTTTAGAAAGTTAAACCAAACACGGCATTAATTTTTTGAAAAAAAGAAAAAGCTTGAAATTCAGTTATTTATTTATTTATTTATTTTAAGGGGAAAGGAAAATACTTGAAGGTTAACGGGGGTGTTTGTTTCAGCTTTTCAGAGCCAACTTATGACTTTTAGTTTTGAAAAAGTTATTTTGGACTGTTTGGTTAAACTTATGTCAAACAGTTTCTGATTCTAACAGTTTATTTTAACTCAAAAAAATTGATTCTGAGAAGCTGCTCACCTTTTACTTCTGATTATCAGCTTCTGCTGTGGACATGTTAATTTATGGTTATACTCTTAATTTTTTTTATTTTTTATTTTTTTTAAAATAGAAAAAGACTCAAGTAGACTATAGATTATTATTATTATTTTTTATGAGAAATGTAGACAAATAAAAAATAAAAAATAATTAAAAAAACTATTTCACGACTTATTTAACAAATATTACTCAGCAACTTAAATCTATAATCCAACAGTTATACCAAACAGATTAATAACTTCTGATTAAAGTCATAATTTATAATCTGTTAAGTTATAATTTATAAATTATTTTAATAGCTACACCAAACGGGGTCAAAAAAATTCAAAATTATCTTTAAGCCTTTGCTAACATGTCACTAAAAATGGATTTTTCCCAATTTTGTGTGAATTTGATTATAGTTGTTGGTTATGAAGTCACGGATAACCTTATGAACTCGCAATACGGTCACATTGGTGCTTGATAGGGAGTTCCCCTATGCCTACCTATCATTTAATGCGAGGCGTTAATGTTTATGGCTATCATTTAATGCAAGGCTCGTTGCTGTTGAGTATAAATAAATAAAATTGCACCCCCATCACTACTTATAGATTTTTGTGATATGACAAGTGTCTTGATCCTAACAATGACATAACTAGTTATGTTTTTTGGGCAAATTATAAACACCGCCTCGAGATTTGGTGAAAATATAAATTTTTTCTTGAGGTTTGAAAAATTACAAATTATTCTCTGAGGGTCAAATTTTCAACAAATTAGGAGAAATTAGGAGAAAATTTGTATGAAAATAAAAACCTCAGGGGGCGGGATGTAATTTCTCAAACCTCAAGGGGGAATCTGTATTTTTACCAAACTTCGAGGGGATGTTTGTAATTTGCCCTTTTTTTTTAATTGACATTTTTTATAATAAAATCACTATCTTAGAGCATCCTTCAAAATTTTAATTAAATTATAATTTAAAAAGTTATTTTTCTATTTTAATTAGTTACTCAACTGCATCAAATTCTCTATTTTAACTTAATTCTATTAAAATATTTGTTATTTTATTTTATTTTTTTAATTAAATTGATGAGCTATCAACCAAACAAGTCTTATGTTTTGCAAAAGGTAAAACTAGAGGAAATGTAAATAATAATAATAATAATAATAATAATAATAATAATAATAATAATTTTGTCGTTGACCGGCGCGGACGTCCGGTAACACATAATTCTACCTGTTGTAGCGATGAATAGTACCTTGCTTGTTGTTGCGAGATACTGTAGCATTAACAAAATACCTAAACATATATCAAGTCTGATGGAGCCCAAATTGTTGATGTTTGCTCTCTACAATAGTTTCAAAGCTATTGTAAAAAGCCTGATACTGATGCTCTTACTCTTCAATATATGGTATTTAAATTTATTTTAAAAAAATTAATACAAATTTTAATTGCGTTATACTAACCCTACATATATTATTATTAGTGAGTGATACAACAATGTACTAATCTTAAACTCGAGGAACTCTTGAGAAGCAAATGGCTTATCTTTTGAAATTAAAAATGTAAGAAAAATAGGAAAAATCGATCGAATTGATTAAATTGGATCGAATCAGTCATATTTAGTTAGTTTTTTTACTACGAATCGATCCATGTAGTTTTGAAATATTTTTTTTTTGATTTCTAATTTGGCACTGATTTAGACATCTTCTACACAAATTTTCATCGAAACCAACCAATTTTTTTACATATAATATATATATTAAACATATAATGAATAACAATGCCAAGCTAGCTGTGTTATGTTCAATTTTGTGTGCCAACCTACTACACTGCCTACATAGCTATGTCATGTTTAATTTTTTAATTTTTTTTTCTCTACTTGATAGATTTGCAGTTTAGATTTATAGGATGATAGTTTTAAGTTTTAATTTTGTTTTGATGTCTAGACTTTAGATCTCAAATTATAAGTTTTTTCTAATTCTAAATCAGTAAAAATTTCAAGCCTTAGTGATGTTGAACAAGTAGCCAAAGACTTCTTGGAACGATTTGATCGACAAAAGGCAAGAAAGATGTAGAACAAAATTCTATAATTTTTATATTTCTTAATTTTATTATTTTAGAAATAGATTTTGATTAGGATTTTAAATAGTTTAGAATTTTAATCTCTTAGGTTTTCTAATTTGTGTTGATTTAAGTTTCTTAGTTTTCTATTTTTTTAGGTTTCTTAATTTATATTAATTTAAGTTCCCTAGTTTATTTCAGAGTTACTTTTCCTACAAGTATTAGGTTTAGTTTATTATAAATAAGCATACAATCATATATAATTCATTCATTCAATTAATAGTATTTTAAAGAGTTTTTCTTTTATCTTCCTTGTAGATTCAAGGGTGTTCTTGTGGATTCAAGAATTCTCGTCTATTAGAACGATGCCTAATCTCGTGTGATTTATTCCGCTGCGTTAAGTGGTATCAGAATAAGGAGTCACCTGGCTTAATGGCACAAGACATAGTAGATCATGCAAACCCTACTGGCGGTGATCGTGGGGTCAAGGCCTTGTGGGCAGCATATGAGAAACGACAAGAGCAGTTGAACGAAATTCGTGATCTGCTTATTGGCCTGAATCTCAATGCCAACAAGAGGCCACCAGTGGTTGTAGGGTCTGTGCTGAAGGAGTTGCCCAAGGCCAACCTATTAACCAGAACAGAGTGCGCACCGAAGGATTCGCCTGAGGTCAAGCTATTCAGAATGCTCCTAGACGTCCCATTCGTTGTCCATCTGATAGTGAAGAGGAGTCTGAACTAGAGTTTAAACCACTTCTAGCCAACTATCAACCCAGAAGGCAACAACAATAAGGGTTCGATGAGTACTGAATGAAGATAGATCTTCTCTAGTTCAATGGAAATCTGCATATTAAGGAGATCCGATCCACCGTTAGATCCTACGGCGGAGAAGTCACGATGGCAGCGATAGAACAGATGCTGTTGATGAAATCCGTAGGATACGAATCGCTCCGGATTGAACCACCCATATCGTTACAATACGGAAAAGCGAAACACGATTTGGTGATAGAGTCTCACGACGCAGCGTTTGATTTCAAGGAAGAGGAACTATTGTTCGGGTTTCAACTGTTTGCGACCAAGGACCCGAAGATATTCGAGAGGTCGGAAGAGTTTGTGGTAGACAAGTTTGTGGGTGAGGAGGGAGAGAGGTTGTTGAGGCATGTTTTGTGGTCGAATGGACCGGACACGGAGAGTCCCACGGTGGGGAACAAGCAGTGTGCATGGAAGGATTTCGTGGTGTTGGTGTCCAGGTTTTTGGTGGTGGAGT